AAAAAAAAAAAAAAAAAAAAAAAAATGAAATATAAAATTAAACGAAATGAGAAAATATTCTTTATATTTGCACGACGACGATTTCGATATTAATCTAGACGATATATTTTCAAAGAGATAAATTAAAAAAACAAACATATACGAATGATTATAACGAACGAACGAACGAACAAACAACACAACAATGAAGACAAAATTGATAATTGCAATATCTTAAAAATATACTATTAAAATAATATAGAAAAGAATATTGATTGATCTTCTCGAATGAATGATCGAGCAATTTGAAAAAATAAAATGAAAAAATGACTTAATAAAGCGTCAATGTTGCTTATCGAGTGCATTGATCTTAAGTAAAGATAGATTCAATGACTCGTTGATAGGCATCGAGTTCTGTTAGGCCTTTGATAAATCGAAATACAATTTTATTTGGCAAAGGTTAACTAACGTGAAAGATTATTCATTTTAAATCTCGTCCATTGGTATCGTGTGAAAAATATATAGACAACAAACCAAAATGACATTGTTCTAAAAACTTGAAACGAATGTTAAATACAAAATTATAATCCATCAATTAACGTACTCTCATAAAAGTAATTAATTTGACACAAATATCTATTGTCAATAAAAAAAAAAAAAAAAAGAAAAATTCCTAGAGATATGACAATAACCATCGTTATTAAAAATTGGAAAATTATTCTAAATGATCACACGTGTTTTTGTATATTTGCCAAATAAGATAAAATAATGCAATTTTTTTTCTTGGCAAGCACGAAGAAAAGTTCAACGAGTATTATACGTTACAAGTATTAGTTTTTAAGAGTGTGTATCTAACAACGAAAAAGAGAATCGAAGTTCTTTGAAGATCGATCGAACTATAAAAAGGGAATGAGGGAAAGATAGATAGATAGATAGATAAAGAGAGAGAGAGGGAGGGACCTTGAAATTCTTTTTAGGACGTTTTCGAGGGAAGTTTCGTTCGCGTGTCGGAAGTAGATCTTGGCTTGTCCTTCTTCATTCATAGATTCTTCTCTTTTAGGATCTGGGATAAAGCGGATATTTGAAAACGATCCTACAACCCCTCACTTCTTCTCTGCCAGTTTGTGAACTCGCTACTTTGGTATATGAGATAAAAAAAGAACAGTGAGATATGTTGATAGAAAAAGATTTAAAAAAAAAAAAGTGTATTTTGTATTAAGGCAAGCAAAGAGATAGAGGGAAAAGAAAAAGAAAAAATCGTTTTCTTTCAAATAAGCCACACGATATAGAAATTTATAAATCGTTTGACCTGCAACCACCTATCACTCCCTTAATATATGAATTTTAATTAATTTAATTATTAATAAACTATCGTATCTTTCAAGTTGGATGAAACTGCACACAGTGTGTCAAATTTGATTAAAATCGTTTCAGTAGCTTAGGAGTCCATTGCGGACAAACAACGTGACACATAATTTATTTATATTAAGATAAGATATTAGTCTGTTTCTATTTTTCTTCTAAAACGTTCGTTTAGAAATTTATTTTAAAGAAATATGTGAACTCTAATCGAAGGAATGTACACGTTGAAAAGATTTTTCACGGCTGAAGAAATTTGTATTTGGAGTTTGTTTACAATGCGAATTGGACTCAATGTAAAATAGGAGGGGACAAAGTTAGAAAGAGAGAGAAAGAATATATCTTTTAACTCGAATAGCGAATGAAATTTAGGTCAAACGACATTTGCGGTCGATGAAGTAGGCATAAAACGCGAACGAACAGGGATCATTAGGTATCCACCCACATATACACCCACAATACAAATACACACACACACACACACACACATACGCATTTCTTTTCGATGAAGAAAAAGATCACAGCTGTCAACGCGAATCGATATTTTATTTCGTCATCGTTTAAGAAGAAAAAAAGGAAAAGAAAGAAAAAGCTCATTCTCTCTCTCTCTCTCTCTCTCACTTTAAAACATCGATCCCTATTGAAGTGAAAACTTTTTTAGAATCAGGATGATTTGAAAATCGTTAAACGGAAGAACGTGAAACCGATGAAACAAAAATAATTAATTAATTAATAAAATTCTAAATATAAAAATTCAGTGTCACAATATGTTTGTTCACTAATAATTCCGAAACTACTCAACTTATTTTCATGAAATTTGCTTTTATTTCACGCGATTTTTTCCAACTTAGCACATATCACAATTTGTGATTTAAAGGTTATCTAGGTTCTGTAAGATTCTTTCAATAAATGGCACTGTATTACAATTCAATTTTTTCTATATATTCACGTTTCGAAGTTTAGTTTTTTATTGTATTTCTCGCGTGAAACAAGCCCCTAAAAATTCTTGTTTGTTTGATATTTTTTAATAACCTGACGAAATTACGTAGTTATGTTTATTTCTCTCTTTTTCTCTCTCATTGAAATGAGTTGTTGAAATAGGGTAGTGAATGACGTAACACGAAATATACTGAAACATTACGAAGATGTGTATCAATGAAATTTTCAAATAGGATGTGTGTTATAGCTGGTGCATTAACCGGCATCTTGCCCACGTGTATTTACTTTGAAAAGTGAAAAAACCTGGTAGCTATTTGTATTGATACGAGTAAATACGATATCGTTTTATACGTTATCATTTTGAAATTTGTATTACTCCTTCGTGTTATTAGTTAGTTCGTGACGATTCGAGAAACGGAAATAAAAAGAAAAATATAAAACTAGAGAGAAATAAAATGTGTTATATAAAAAAGAGGGGGAGAAAAAATTAATATTACAGAGAAAATTCTATATTGACTCACCCCAAGACCGCATTATTGAGGTTCTCCAAATGTAAAGATGGCGGTGGAGATCTGATTGTCACTTGATGACTTCCACCGGCAATAAATTGTACCTGTTCGTCGCCATTGAACCTCGGTCCACCTCCCCCACTCAAACTGAGATTCTTCAAATCTGCCATAATCCGGTTCTGTTGTTGTAAATCAGAACAATTTCAATTAAATTATCATCAATTAGTATCGAACTAATTCTATTTTACAATTAACGGGATGAAAAATGTTTCATAATTTTACATAAATAAATGAATTCAATTTTCTTTCTAGAGGATGGTAAAAATCAATTGCACGAGTGATCACTTACAATTACTCGAAGAGAAATGATGCGTGAGTTTGATGTGTTAGTATTTATAGAAAACTTTTAATTAATTTTTTGTCTAATATCACCTCTGTATCAAACTATTATTCATTGTTTTTTCTATCATAAGATAAATTTAATTAGAAAACTTTCTTATCGATCGATCAGGTCAAAGTCTTTCTTTTTCTTTCTCTATCTTATTTCTTATTTTACAAACGATCTTGACATTTGATGATTGTATTTCGAATGGTATAATCGAGAAGAAGAATGTCATTCGAGTAAACGAATAAATTCTTTTTTTTTTTTTCTTTTATGTCTTCTCCAACGATTTACAATGAAAAGAGCTTCGAACTAATAGGATTCCTCAATGGAAGATTAGAAAATCAAATCCAGGAAGTATTGTATAGATTCCCTATCATTAGTTACAAGTAGCTAACATGATTATCGCACGACTACAAAATCGATTCACGTTTTTTTTATTTCTATTTAAATTAATAATTAGACATGAGAGATGAATATTACAAAAAAAAAAAAGAAAGAAAGAAAAAGAAAAAAACAAATTTGTGTATACAAATTGAATAGATCAATCTTAAACATGAACTTGTTCAAATGAATTACATTCTAAATGTCAGTAATCTTATGTTCCTGATAAAATAAATTCTGACAATCTTAAAGAATTTTTCTATTGATAAAATAAAAATGTTGAACGTAAAAGTATTTACGAAATTCTGTAATAAGAAGAAAGTCAAGAAAGTGATGAATTTTAGTTGGCACAAACACTCAGATTCCTATATCGTCTTTATTATATATGCATATATACAATAAGTGTGAGTTTGTAAAAGAAACGAGTATTTTCATCTCACTCAATTCGCATTCATTTTCACAGTTTTTCTAGGAAACATTGACGAGGATAATTGTTGGACTAGTGCCAAGATAGAAAGAAATAAAAAATAAAAAAAAAAAGGAACAAACAAACAAAACGAGGTAGAAACTTGCACACCTTTTTCTATCCTTCAAAGGGTAGTTGAGAATCCTTTTTAGTATCGTAGTCGTTATGATGATCGTTCCTGTTTCATTCGAATGTGTTTTCCATATGTATATATATATGTCGTAAAAAAGCAAAACTACAGTTTGCATTTCGCAATGTTCTCGTTTAAAGTATTGAAATAATATATCTACGATAGAAAAAAAGAAGAAAGAAAAAAAATGTTGATAAAAAGAATGCATCAAACTAACTCGTGCATCGACGACAAACCTACCTACGTATTAACATTATATTGAAAATAACATTGATAATAAAATTATGAACTAGTTGTTTTTTTTTTCCATAAGAAAGAAAATATATTTTCTAATTGATTTAATTAATTAGAATAAGAAGAAGAAGAAGAAGAAGAAGAAAATGAAACGAGCATCAAGCGCGTCATCGATCGTCATCAATTTCATATTGTGACACGCACGTAAAAAAGAACGATGCGTTTTAAAATTGACTGATTAACCGATCGATCGATCTATCTATCTTTATCGATCTTTCCTTGAAGACAAACACGTGTTGAGAATTGAACCTTTCAATAACGAACACCTGATACGAATGCTACTATTTGATAGAAAGGAATAAATGAAGAAAATAAAAACTCGCAGTGTGTGTCAGAGTTTTTTTATTATGAGACCCAATTTAAATATACGCATTTGATAACTCAAGATAAGATTCTTGAATATTTAATATCGAGAAAGGTGTTTAAAATATATTGAAAATAAATATTTATAATGTATAAATAAATATTAAATTGTTGTTACTAACGATTCTCTGTTGTGTTACATCAGAAATATGAAAGAAGTATCATTAAAATATTTTCTATTTTTCGCGATCTATAAAAAAAACGATATTCATTTTGATTACTTTCTTTGTTTATTTTTAACGCGAACAAAGCCCACGCGTTAAAGTGAAAATACGCGTTAAGGTTACAAGATAAATTGCCATAACGGTTTATGACAATTGACTTGCTCCAGAAATGCTTATCGTGTTGATGATGATACAACATATTTTATGAGTGCAAGTATAATAGTATCGTTATGACCGTGGTTCTTCGTTACATGCTCAAATAATATTTAAAAAAAAAAGAAGAAGAAAGAAAAAAGTGCAAAGTGCAAAAAATAAGTTGGAATTTGGAGTAAATATTTCTTGGACTTCCTCGTTACAAATAATACGTTCACACGGATCATGATTCATACGTTTGATCATCTAACATAAGTTAAGTGACCTCGATCACGAGTGCAACTAAACAGTCGAGCTTTTATTACTGACAAACTTACGAAGAAAGTCTACATTTCATCATTTTTCACTTACAATTATTATTGAAATATTTCAATAAGACTAATTCAAATATATTATTTTACGTGCGACAAATGCAAGTGTTTTTTTTTTTTTTTTTGCACGTCCATGCTACTCTCTTGTCGTACACTATAAATGTCATTTCTATTTACGATATCATGCTATTCAATGAAAAAGACAAATTATCAAATTACGCCTATTCTTTTATTCTGTTTTTTTACAAAACAAGAATTACTCTATCATTCATTTGAATTACTCCGCTAATTATTATACGATTAAATAATATTATTAAATGACTTTAATTGTTAAATATCTTAAAATTAATGTGACAGATAATTAATGATCATGCGTATAATCACGCGACATATATATAATTACTAATAGCAATAATATCATAATGTACATAAAATATCGATATTAAAACGATCCAATTATAGTTAACACGTTCGTCGTCATGGCACCTTATAGAGGAGACGGGCATACTTCCCCGGGGGCGGCCCCGTCACCGTATACGGTGACGCTCTTCTTCTTGAAGTTATCGTATTTTTAGTTGGAAAAACTTATCACATTTCTCATTTCGAAAGAAAATTACTTTCGATAAAAAACCATAATACTCGGATCGCATTGTTGATATTTCTACTTATCGCTTCTTACGTTACGTCGAATTTTGGGCCTGGCGAGAAACTTAACCGAAACGAACTGGGTGACGAACGTGTTAATAGAAAGACGCAAATTCGTGTGCATACTAAAGATCATGAATACATTATACATTTCAATTTGTAAGAACCCTATGATAGAGAGAGAGAGAGAATAAAGGGAAAGAGAACGGAAGAAGAGAAACACCAAATAGCTCGTTTGATCAATTCAGATTTGATTCGTTAACGGTAATAAAGAGGAAGAAAAAGAGAGAAAAAGAGAGAGAAAAAGAGAGAGAAAGAGAGAGAGTGAGATAATGGCTGCTGATACGCGTGCAAAACACAATCCCATTTAGAATTTTATAAGCTCGTGTAAGATCAAGATCGATGTTTATTTTATTATTTTTTTTTTCCCCAACTCTGACTGACATACAAAAAAAAAAATAATATTCCTTCATTCGAACACTGTACATTAAAGAAAGAGAAATAGAAAATGCGCATGCGTGTTATTAATTCGCGCGTGTGCAATGGTACATTTGAACGAGAAAAATGTGTGCGTGTGATCGTAGAATTTAATCAGAGAATAGATCTTGAAAAGATTAACATTCATTTTTATATTAATTTTTAACTGTATATATATACATATGTAATGTTCGTTTAAATCCTATATCTAAATAATCTATTCAATTAATTGCAATTATAGATCGAGTATATCTCTCGTTGATTAGAAAATAAATATTTTTAACATTAATTCATTCGTAATATCGTTTGACAAATAAAACAAAACAAAAACAAAAAAGGATAAAATAATTTGTCAATTTTATCGTTCATTTTATAAAAGAATATATTTTGGAATTTTCATTTCTCTCGTTTGACAGTATGAGTGTTTTGTTTGTTTTTGTTTTTGTTTTTTTTTTTTGGATATGCTGAAAAGAAAAGAGGAAATATTTAATTGAAAAACTGAAAAAGATGGTGTCCGGTCTATAAAATGTAAGAAGAAAACTAGAAACAAGGGCATCCATTATCAAGGAAAATCGTGCTTGCGAGCAAACCTCGACTTGCCACGACCTACATACAGAAACCCAGATGATGTTCTTCGTTGCGTCTTGTGGGGATTATTTTTAAAATGAGAAGAAAGAACAAAAAATAGAAAAAGAACACCAGGAAATAAAATAAGGAGGAGGGGGAGGGCGGGGGGAAAGAAAATAGGTAAGAAAAGTCATAAAAACAGAACGGTACAATTTTTACGATCGAAATTATAATCAAATTATTGCAATTTGTAACTGTGTTGAAAAATTGTGCTGAAAAACTGTAACAACGTTATCATCGATTAATTTTTTTTTTTTTTTAATAATTATTTCCGAAAGAAATTTAAATTTCATATAAATAATATATATATATATATTCATATTACATTATATTATTGTCGTAAAAATTATTGTCAATTCGTATAATTTATTTATTAAATAATATTTGTATGCACTTATCGTTAGAAACGTCAAAGCATAATCTAAAAGTCAAATACACGCACGTGTCACACTCACGTTTATTCGATTGCATAAAGAAAATGTATTTTGTTTTCTTTATTTAAATCGTTAAAAATCCAAATAAAGAAAAGTAATTGTAAGAAACAAACGTATTGTCCGAGGTCAGTCATGAAGGTAAAGGATTAATGTAAGAGGAGTTATTAAATAATACATTTATATAAATAATATAAATGCATCACTCACCGTACGATGATCTGGTTTTGTTGCAGATACGTTTGGTTTATAAAGTTGTTCTTTGTATCCGAATTCATAACCTACTGGAATAAACTCGAAGCATCCTCCAGGTTTGTTCCTTTTAATATCTGACTATCTCTCTCTCTCTCTCTCTCTCTCTCTTTCTCCTGTCAATGCAGTATACAAATCTTCCGGTTATTTAAATTCGATATATTTAATCTTCTCTTTGCCGTAAAAAAAGAAATAAAGTGTACAAACAAATGTAAATAATTCGGACGATTAAATCGAAGGAACACTAATTACGAACTATCACTATAGTAAAATCGTAGATTGATTGACAAGATTCCTTCTCTTTCGTGTATGTCCTCTTCGTTACCGATAACGCACCCCACGATTCATGACAACACTTTTCTTTTTTTCCTTCTCGCCCACTTTTCAACTAATTACTCAATTTTCTTGTCTTATTTAAACACCGACTTTAAATAAAAGAAAGAATATATGTTTGTTGTTACGAACACAGGAACACACTTCAAATATTCTCCACGTTTGAATTTTTTCTAACGATTGATCGAATAATTAATAAATAATAATTAAGGGAATGTGGGATGAACAAGACAAATGTATAAATTTATTTAATAAAAATTTAAAATGAGATAATTAGGGTAGAACAAATGAAAGTGTGAGATATATATATATGTGTGTGTGTGTGTGTGTGTGTGTGTTTAAAAGGGAGGAGACAGAAAGAAAGAAAGAAAAAAAGAAAGATATAAAGAAAGGGATGCAAGGAGAGAAAGGCCGATTTAAAAAACGCACCACCAACACTCCGAGAGAATCAGTTGTCGGGTTATGCACCACCGTTCGACTCTACCGTCGAAATGAGCCGACCTGTCCGCGACCAAAGTCAGGAACGTAGCTTGTCGCGAGTGCTACGGAGTCCCCCCCACCACTCAAATCCTCTCACTTTATATTTCTTCCTTTATCTCATTTATTATTTACAGATTTATATTATCTTTCAGATAAACATAAATTTTCTTCACCCGAGACGCGACCTTTCATATTTTCTAACGTAATCAAAAATTTAAGCAAAACATTACGTATAAGGTTGTTTTTGTTAATTGTTTTCTTCTAGCTTGGAATATGGGATGGGGGGAAAAATAAAAAGTAGAAAGGAATAAACATAACAGTTTTCTATCTCTCTCTTTCTCTCTCTTTCTGCTTAAAATTACTCTCCTAGGATCTCGAAATGTGATTCATACCCTGCGGAGTGAGTCGTTTTCGTCTTCTTCGTCGTTGTCGACGTCGACGTCGACGTCGTCTTCGTTTGACCGTTGAAAAGAAGAATGAATACAAAGAGATTGATGAACTTCAACATAGTATATCTACCTACGTTTGATTTTATCCTTGGTAACGATTAAAACGTTGATCCTTGGAAATATTCTTGATGGTACAGATGATGAAGCGGTTAATCGTGATTCATATGCTTTGAGAAAAATTCCGTTCTTTTGATTGAACGGATTTAAAAAACTAGTATGAGTGATGAATATGTGGAAAAATCCTTTGTTCAAACGAAAACGTGATTTCTCTTGTAATTTTTCTTCTTAACTTTTTATTATTGTTCTTGTAAAAAGTTTGACAAGAGTTAGATATTATTTGATTTCAAACGATTCTAGCATATTTTCTTGTTTTTTATTATTTTAACTGTAAAGAAAGAAATCTCGCGTCTTGTTATGATCTATGATAAATAAAAAGTAAAATAATGAAAGATATATTAGCACATAGAGACTTGAAAAACGTCATCGAGTTTACGCTAAAGCAATAAAACGCGATAAAACCTCATTTATTGTTTTGCAATCGGTTGTTTCTCAAGAATACTGTAATAACAAAAATAATTCAAAGTCTTTCGTATTATTATAAAAAAAAAAAAAAAAAAGAGAAAAAGTATCGATGAATAATAAAAGTAATAATACTAACAAAAATCTCTCTATTTCTTCAACAACATCAATCTATTATGCGTATCATATGATGTGCCTGATATGAACAAAAAAAAAAAATACAATTAAAATCATCAGGAAGAAAATAAAAAAAAATAGAAAAATAAAGTTTAAAAAAGGTTCGGGTACTTTAGCATGAGAAGACATTCCTGAGAAGATATCTCGCGCATGCACACAAAGCAGACGATTATCTTAAGTACGAATTTTCAATGATCGTTCGAAGAACTTTCGACCTTAACGTTTCTTCAGGGTTTGACGTTAGAAAAGAATAGAAAGTAAATAGGAAGAAGAGAGATAGAATGACAACCGATGTACATATAACACACAAAGAAATATAGAGAGGTGGAAGAGGAGGAATAGGGGGTAGAGGAGGGAAAAAGAGGGATAGAATGAGGATAAGGGGAGTTAGAGGAAAAGGGTAGGAGTTAAATATCTCTCTCGAGCGAAGGAGAAAGGAGGAATCGGCCGGCACATGGGTCTCTCACTGCGGGTCGATACTCTAGCACTGGAGTGAACGCTCGGTACACTTGCACTCGGCCGAGTACATCTGCACCGGGGATTGCCTGCTTGCTTGCTTGCTTGCCTGCCTGCCTGCCTGCCAGCCTGGCCACTCGCCCTGGCCACTACTCTTGTGCGTAACACTACAGCGAATTTCTCATTGGTGATAGGGGTGAGGAGAGGGCTAGAAAACAGCTCGCATTGCTAGTGAATGAAAGATCGACATTTTTTGGATTCTCTCTTCTTATCTTTTTTTTCATGACGCAAATGTCCTCTCACTAATCTTCTCTATAATCTCTTTTTTATAATTTATTATTTATCATGAGTAATTTTGCTTTTTTCTTTTCATTGGGATTACTTAGGGGATTAGGGAATTGGTAAAATATGAACGGAAAGATTAAAAAAAAAGAATAAATATGAAATTGCAAATATGTTTAACTTGATGTTTTTTTAAAAAGACGAGAAAAATGGTTGAAATTTGAATTCTACAATCGATATCATTGTTTTTGATAAATGATCTTAAGACCAATGGTTGGTTGGTTGTTTCGTTAAGTATAACAATATTTACCTAATGTCAAACGCAAAGAATTATTTGATTCCGTTTATTAATCGATCGATAAAATACATTTTTAAGCCGATCTCTAAATAAATGATATGTTCGATCGTCGATACACCTTGTTTATATAGTTCTCTCGAGGCCGTTAAAGTAAAAAGGGTGCTGTCACTGAATTATTTCATCCTTTTATATATATAAATAGTGCAATGACGTAAGCATTGCCGAACAAATGAATTGAAAATTGATATCTAATTAAATCACAATTTCTTTTCTTATCCTGAACCTATACCTGAAAATATGATCAAATGTTAGAACAATGATTTTCATATATTTTCTGTTGAAATAAAAATTGTTTAAATGAGACAGATCACTTGAATATATTTTAGAGGCCAAGTGAATATCGGAGGCTAATGTCTCTCTGTTACTACGTGGAAAAAGAGAAGAAAAAAAAGAAAATGCTTTCGTCTATAGCTGTAGCATCTTGAAGAATTTTATCTCCAAGTGGAAGAAGAGTCCCAGCAGCACCTTTCAGAAGAAACATATGTCTACTCTTTTGTATATATGTACTTTACATTGTACGTACATACACATATACTCTATTTTACGCGAGCAAGGGTATACATTGCACCTACGTGGATAAAAAAAGAGAACACACGTGTAAGTATACCTACCTGCTGCAGTATACATTTACAATCCATATATACATATATTAGCTACAGTATGCACGCGACACAACACAACCCTTCTTCTTTCACGCAGGGCAACCTTTGTCTACCGTCAAAGCATATCGATTGCAAGTTGTATCCCATGGAAGTCCTTTGCAACGCCGACATCAACAACTACATCACCTGAAAGTACACATTTTTAAATTAAATTCAACCAATTATCTCAAACTGTCTACATTTCGTCTAGATTCATTTAATAGACAAAAAGTCGTCTTCTTGTTTTCTTTTTAAATATTGATTTTTTCTTTTCTCATCGAGATGATCTCTGTCTGATATCATTGTGACGTAAATCGTAATTTCATTTCTAGCGATGAATATTTATCAGTTTCACTTACCAACGGAAATCCCGAAGAAGTACTCGAAGTCATTACTCGGATCTATTGAAAGTCATCGTGTTATGATCCTTCCGAGTTCGTGATTAAATTCGTCGAATGAAAGAGGTAGCACGACGTAACGAGTTTGCCGTCTTTTTAAAATACGTCTTTTGTTTCCTTTTGCGTTCGATGAAACTTCGTTAGACGACCTTGATAAAAGAACACCTCCAAACATGTATGCGAGTGTGTAAAAAATAATCCTAAAACAATACAAAAAATTAATAAGCGTTAAAATAATTATTTAAACTGATAATAACAAGATGGTATAGAATTTGCATTACATTATATTTTTCTGTGTAATTAATATCTTTCATATTTTTCTAACATAAGATTATTGTAATATATAAATAATATAATTATTTGGATCGGATCGATATTATGATACACGATAATAAATAATTAAACAATTATCTTATATAACACATCATTGTTTTTATAATATTCAACCTTTTCTAACGTCACTGTGACATCACTACGTCATTTGGTAAGAAGTTGAACAAAAAAATAGATGATAAATATATGCTAGGTTGCACTAACTATTCATTTTTCACAGATAGAAGAAGACGAAAATACAAGATCATAATTCATAGTTAGAAAATTAGATATAAAAGTCAATATGTTAGTTGCATCTTTTTTTTTTGTACCGGATATTTCGTTCTGTTGCGCATCAGTGCAGCTGCACTGAATTCTTCCTCTATAGATCGATTTCATGATTAAATTCTTACTCATCTAATAGAAATTTCGATTTGTTAACATAATCATAATAAATAACAAAGAAAGTTTCTATAAGTATATATACTCTTTAAAAAAAACAACACAGAATAAATAATAAATATATATATATATATGTTATAATTATTATAATATAATACTAATTAATAATTATATGAAAAATGATGACAATTGAAAAATTCCAACGATAAAAACAAAATGATTGTGTTAAATCGGCACGTCTATTCATACACGTAATCGGTTGATCTATAATGTAACATCTATTTTTGACTATAGCATGTACGTCTCTGTCTAAACCACGACTGTATAGAAATGTATGTGCAAATATATTGGCCAAGTAAAAATAAATGGAGCACACATGTATCGTATTGTTTGGGTTTCTCGACATAACGTTATTATTTCAAAATATAGGTTTATACACATACACTCTCACATATATATATATATATTTATATTAAAATGATTAATATCCGTAAAAATGGATTTGAATTAATTGCATGTATCCTAATGATATCATGTATAAGTTACAAATGAACATACATATTTCTATGGTACATATTTTCATGAATTTTGTTACTTTTTACATAAAATGAGAACAAAACGTGTCCTCTTTTCTCGCCTACGTTTTATTTATTATCATATATGAACATTTTTCAAATAATAAATTGAAATTGTTAAACAACGAGGATGATGATGATGATGATGGTGATTCATGTTTATCGTCTTTGTATTTATGCTAATATTAATAACAGATCGAAACAAAGTCTAACGATCATGACTTATGATTAAATGCAATTATCCAGAATGATTCAAAGTTATCACAAAGAGACTAAACCATGTGGTTTTAAAAGATATAGCGTAGAAGAACGTTTATGGTTGAGAACACGTGATCTGTGTCCGAATAATAAACGATCGATACCATCTGGTATAAGAGAAGGACGTTAACATGTTGAACGTTCGATATAATCTATCGATTCATGGGTACAAAAATAATAGTGACAACTCATACTTAAGTAAATGAGTATTGCTTTGTTACAAAAGTTGGAAAAATTCTAATCATAGAATTACATGGATACAAATTGCAAGATGTAGAAACGTTTTAATTAGATCTTAAAGTTATATTACGATTCAAATTTGAAGTTAATTTTTGTTTATCGATTTGTTAAATTACAAGAGTATAAATTTTGGACTGATCTAAGAGACTTTGTGCCAATTCTTTATAAACATGAACAACTATAAAAGCTTAGTTTCAACGTTGTTAAATTAAAACGATCTTTTGCAATACTTTCTCACTTGTTAACTAACACAATATTATAATATATTATATATATATAACAGCTAAATCTTCTTTTACAGATTCTATTAAGTGTAATTTCTTTTTTTTTTAACGAGGACTTTAAATAATAAATCGTCGATTATTATTACTATTATTATCAATTATTATTCTAACAAATTTTGAAGTTCGTCATTAGAATATCAAAACGATGATTCGTAATTGTACGATGATGCATACATTTATGTAAATAATCTTTTGATCTGTTACAAAATAGTAATAAAAAAAAAAAAAAGACTACTAATAGATAAGCGTTAGCGTAAATATTATGCTTGCGGAAATAAGCTGGTTGGTGCAGATGTACTCGAGGTAACATAGCCATTGACTATGACCGGTGAAAGTACAAGTACGTTCAAAGTCATTAAAATCAAGGAGAACGAACGGCAGCACATTTTTAGTTCTTTTCTAACATTGTTTAACAACATTTGTATCACTTTAATAATTATAATCACGTACTCTCTTTTGTCGAGCAACAACTCCTCGATGAATCGAACGACGGACTTCATCCTTTTTTGATTAGCCTTTTGTATTTGATTAAAGTAGATACTTTTCTTTTTCTTCGAGCGTGATAAATTACTTCGAGTAGCTTATCGCACGATAGATAAATATTACGTTATTATCTTTTTGTTCTTCTTTTTTTTTTTTTTTTTACGAAAAACATGCCGGAAATTATTCAGAAATGAGACATTGTTTGTCATGGAATTTGATACTCTAATAATTAAATGACTTCGAGCAACGATATAAGCTTCCTTCCGTTCATATTTAATGTTTTTGTCAAGTGATTAATTTTTGTTGGAATAATAAAACTTCTATCCATGATGAATCTCGTTTAATCGATATTATGGAAAAGATAATTACAAAACATAGAAGAAGTTTTTCAATTGAAATTTTCATTATATTTAAATAATAATTATTATCATCGTATTGTTCGATTTAAATACTCAGCTTAGAGTTTTCAACGTAAGATGGCGATACTTGCACGTTCGCCATTTAACGATGCACAATGCACATGCATGCATATATTTAAATGTTTAACAAAAATAATTGATTTATTATAAATAATAGAAAATATATAAATAAAAGATAAACATTGATATAATACTTGGATTACAATTTGCATAAATATATAATTAATAAAAGATAAATATTGATATAAAAATTGTGTATGCATCTTCCGATTTATCAACGAGGACACACAGTTCAAGGGTCAAAAATGACTAATGCACAATTTACAAAGCATCCGTTTGTAAATTGAACAATGAATAAGGAACTATAGGAATATATTATACATATACGTGTTATCAATTCCGGTAGTGAGAATTACAAAGAGCTCACCTTGATCGGTACTTGGAAAAGTATACTCTATTTAAAATCTAGCTAAAACTACTTCTATGATTTAAAATAACAAAAATGTCTTTAGAAACGTACGTATATAAAATACCTTAATATATTCTCGAATTAAATTAAAAAATAATATATATATATATATATTTACGTGTAAACTTGTTATTTAATTATTTCCCCTTGTTTGTCATAAATTATTATTAATTATGATAAATTTGAATAATATGTCAAGTTGATTGGTTCAAAGGTAAAAAAGTATGAAACTATAGAAAGAGCGTTAACCAGCGGTACCACTACTATTTGCTGGGCGTCGGTATCTTTTGTCTTATAAAAAATAAACCTGCCTAGTGTTCATCTTTATCCTCTTCATCTTACATACATATTCTAAGGACGTTCACTATCGCATTTCATAACGTCGTAAAAAAAAATGAACAAAACATTGATATTCTTAAGATTATTAAACGTCGCATGGATTTTCTCTTGATTATTATTATCCGTACAATCGGAATATTTGAAAAGTTAGTATTGTAACGGGTTTGGTATCACAGTTGCATTGTGTGGTAGTAGGGATGTGTTGAGAAATTAGATCAACCTGTCAGTGTTTCATACGAACCATCATTGTACGTGTACTTTGAGATGTCCGAAATGATGGAGCAGGGAATGGTAAGATTATTTTTCTACATTAATAAATATTTATTTGCCAATCACTATAAACGCACATTTCTCTTTTACATCGATGACGTATATATATACTGCATTTAATTTAGACATGTCTCTCAAATTTGAGAATGACGTACCACATCGAACACACCCGCCCACATGTTTTTGTCTTATCAAATATCAACAACAATCTATAGGAGAAAGCAAAACGAATGGGGAAATCATTTTTCAAATTTCATACCATTGCTCTCATGGATTTGTCTTTTATGTTCAATTATTATTTTTATATTATTCGATCATACAATTTCTTATTTCTTTAACCTCTGTATATCAAACTTGTAACGCTGTAAACATTGCTTTGAGGTTAGTTTGTTTCGTTTTGTGTTATATGCGCGAAAATTGATGATATTTAAATGGTTCAGTTTTATCAGTAATTACAATCAAAGTACTTTCAAATGAATATGCAATATTATGTGTCATTGCTTCTATAAATACAATATTAAATAAAATATTATTTATAGGATCATTATATCTGCTTATAAGAACATTATTCATATATTTGAAATTGACATGGCTAACAAATGTATTTTGATACCAATGTAAAAATAAAATCTTATGCAATAACCATTCACTTGTTTATCTAATGACTTACATAATAATGTAAGTGCCCTTTTGTTCTTTCTAGGAACTCTCCATCTACACCGGAGTTGTACTACGTGGATCTAATACCAAAGAGGACGAAGTTCACAGTTCGGGTACTCTGAATATTGTTGAATATGTAAGAAAATAAATATCATTATTATTATTATTTAATCTTATATTTATACATATATGTATATGTGCGATAAGTGAATGTAATATGAATTTTGTTGATATGCAATATTAGAGTTTTGGCAAATGCATAGAATGGAGACCTACGGAAGAATCTGTTGTATTGGAGAATCAAGATCAAGATCCAGAATGGTCTTTAGTAGATACTCATACAAGAAGAACTCGCACTACTTCGGAAGGTGCAGACTCTTGTGGACATTCAAAGATAGTTAGAATATTATTCTCCGATTTAAAATCATTTCGTATTAATCTTGGAGGACAACAGCTGATATTTATACAAAAGGATGGTACCACCTATGTTGCCTTCTTTCAATTGTCCAAAGCTGAAACTTTTGTTAATACGTTAAAGAATTTTATTCACTTCAGAAGCTCAACGAAAGATAAAAACTTGTATTATGTATTGGAAGAGGTTGAAACTGCTTTGAACAAATCGTTCGCTGAATTGAATTTATTTCAAGAGAATACTTCAGATTATGTATGGAATTTTGTGAAAAATTTACAAAACCGTCCATATGAAACAACACTAGAAGCATTCAGTAAATTAGCAGATATTTGGTGTAAGTTAATACACCAAAATTCATTGTATAATAAATATATATTATACATATATATATTCCAGTATACAAAGAACCAGTAAAAAGACCAGTTGAAGAAGCGGTAGCTGATTTACTTAATTCTTCCTTATCGAGTAATCAACATGAACCTGCGGATGAATACGAAGTGATAGGACAAGCAGATATAGGTTTACAATTTCCACCAAGACCTCCATGTCCTAGAGGTACATTTAGTCAAATCAAATATCTTATAGAGAAATAATTTACGATCAAACGTATTAATTGTGTAACGTATTAACTGTGTTAGGTTTACCTTTATCGCAAGAGCAATGGGACAGTAGTAAAGATTCAGAAGGAAGAATTATTGATCCAGATGCTGTTAAAGAAATCATTTTTCGAGGGGTCTGTATATTAAACTCACTTCAAAACGTCCTCTTTTATATTGATGCTAATAATGGCAATAATATTTTGAAAACTCTTAGGGCATACATCCATTATTGCGTTATGAAGTTTGGAAATTTTTATTAAATTATTATCCATGGAATTCAAGTAACGCTGAGAGAATAGAAATAAGAAGAAAGAAGACCGATGAGTACTTTAATATGAAACTTCAATGGCGATCTATGACGCCAGCACAAGAAAATCGTTTTTCAGACTTTCGGGACAGGAAAAACTTGATAGGTAGGTTATTTCAAATGAAATATTAATTGTTAAAGAAATTCTTTATCGGCAAATATATTCATTTGATTTCATTGAATTTACAGAAAAAGATGTTAACAGAACGGATAGAACACATCCCTATTTTCTAGGCGACAATAATCATCTAGAATTATTAAATGACATACTCATGACATATGTAATGTACAATTTTGACTTAGGATATGTCCAAGGTATGAGTGATCTACTCAGTCCTATTTTATGTTTGATGGATTGTGAAGCGGATGCATTTTGGTGTTTTGTTGGTTTTATGGATCAAGTGGTACGTACCACTTATCTTTATTATCTATTATTACAAATTATTACATATTTCTCGTAGTAAGAAAAATGAATCTTTTTGTTTTTCCTTAAAAACAGAGTACAAATTTTGAAATGGATCAGTCTGGAATGAAAATGCAGTTACGTAATATACATACTTTACTGTACAATATGGATCGACAATTGGAACACTATTTAACTCAACACGAATCTGGAAATATGTTTTTCTGTTTTCGTTGGTTATTAGTATTATTCAAAAGAGAATTTAATTCATCTGATATAATGAAACTGTGGGAGATTTTATGGACTGGTTTACCATGTCCTAATTTTCATTTACTCATATGTGTAGCTATATTAGATACTGAAAGAAATGTATTGTTGAAAAATAATTTTGGCTTTACGGAAATACTCAAAGTAAGTAACAGTCTATTTTATTATAAATAGTTTAAATAATCAATGAGTTAATAACAGTTATTTGTTTGTATTTGGTTTTGTCTTTTTTTTTTAGCATATAAATGATCTTTCTTTACACATTGAACTACAATCGACGCTTTCCAAAGCAGAAGGTATTTATTATCAATTAATGGCGATAGAAAACAAACTGCCGAACAATTTGCGTACAATTATTGGATTGGAGCCTCGAGAACGAACATCGGATGAAAGTGATATAGAAGAAAATATGATAGATGCGTCTAATTCTTCTATTAGAACTAGTTCTAGAAGAAACAGTTCGGAAAGTGTAACAACCCAGCATGGTAATAACGAAAAGTCTTTCGAAAAAGGTCTAAACTTTTTTCTATAAGATTTGGGTCAATTTTTACAGTTTTATGTTTACTAAAATCTATGAAAAAAAAAACAACAACCTTAGCTTAGTAGAACACACAAAAGATTTCTAAGATTCTATTATCATTTTTCTCTTTCTTTTCTTCTCACTCTCTTTCTCAATCTCTGTCATTCTTTTAGTTTTCTAAAAAAAACATGATCTCGTGTTGTTTAGCTTTCAACGAACATTAGATTATTGCACAAAAGAAAAAACGAAAGAAAACGAAACATTGATGTAAAATAAAAAAACAAGGACGTAACTCGAATTTTTTCTTCGATCATTTTTTTTAAATCGTTGGCATCCTGTTAGTATAGTAAGAAAAAAAAAAGAAAAACATTTGTTTTGTTTTTTTTTTTAATTTGCAATTTTAATGTAAGTGTAAATGTAAAAAATTTATATATCATATTTGCAAGAAACGAAAAAGAAAAATAAAAGGAAAAAAAAATAGAAACACATTATTAGTAGCGTTGAATTTTGAAATATTTATAAAATGAATTTTGCTGTATTTAATAAGAAATATTTGATGTGAGTCTAATTTACTTCGACGGAGGGATATTATTAAAGGAAGTGTTTCAAGTTAACTATGATTATTGACATTATTTTTATGAAAAACTTTGCACAAAGTTTGAATAATATCAAATGGGAACAATGATACTAAAGTTTTATCTTTTAACAGCGCAATAACTCAAATTTGATTTTTGAGTTGAAATAATATGTTTTACTTGGATTTTAATGAAGTCTCACAAAAGCGCTGTATATTTCTAATAAAGTCACCTATTTAATCTTACAAATTTCTTTTCTTTTTTTCATTTAATCTCTCTTTCTTTTTTTTTTTTGTGAAAAAAAAACTAGAGATATTATCTAAAGCTTTTGGATAAGAAAAAATAATGCACATGTAAGTAAACATAACTCATTTATGTGATTCTTGCATTTGATGCATGAGGGCGCATCATGGCAACAGCCGCCTTTAAAAAAAAAAAAAAAAAACAAAGTACGGTGTTAAAAAAATATAAAAAATAAAAAATAAATTCTATATGTTGTAAACTATGAAGTTATTTTTTATATTGACATAAAAATATAAGCAACGTTTCTAATATCTTTCCTAGATTTATTCTAGTATGGAATTTCTATCTAGGAGAAGAAATAGAAATCGAAGGAAGAAACGTAATTTGAAAAGACGTCAACGCGAATGTATGAAATTTGGGGTTAAGTCAGTTAAAAGTCAAAGATTATTAAAAGAATGTGTCAATGTTAATTTTAGTAAAGAAGAAGTAATAATAGGAAATACGATGCAAGCTGATGCGTTTTGGAAAAATTATGTGGCTGCTCAAGACTGGCAAAAAAAGTTATTATTTATTATATATAAGAACAAAAATTATTAATTTTTATTATTTTGTGTGTTCTGGTTATTTTCAATAATCTGATTATAGTGATAGTGATTCGTATTACAAAATGATTTCTTTTTTTTTTTTTTTTTAATTATTTATACATAATTTGTAACATTATTTTGTTGTTATTTATTATAAATATTTTGCATTAAAACTGATTTTGATGTTTATAGGCACAGTGTAACATGGTGGAGATCTCGTTGTTTGGCATTGGAAAATGAAAACGAAATATTACGAAATAAAATTAGATCTTTAATTGGATCGAATAATAAACAAAGTAATAACAAGCAGACTGTTTCTAAACAACAACAACAACAACAGAATACTTATAAACAAAATCCAAATTTTCGTGAAGATTACAATGAAAATGGATATCAAAACGAAGAAGATTTAGAATTTCATGTCGATGAGGATATGAAGACCTTCTTGGAACAAAGTTTACGACATCAAATGGAATTGAAACAAAAGCGTGACCAAGAGTTAACTGATATCAACCTAGAGAATTTAGCTTTTATAGAAAGTGGATTATTTTGTAAACAAGCTCGAAATGAAAATGCAAAATTATTATATGGAGATGCTGGTCCTACAATAATGGCTATGGAAACTGCATTAATGGCCACAATAGAAAGACACAAAGATAAATCAAAACCTCAGTATTGGCCAAATATTCCTTTAAGACCATAAAATCTATAATTTACCTTTTTTAATTAAATATTCAAATATTTATTTCATCATCAGTAGATGTTATATTTTAATTAGACCATTATTTTACTAATAAACTAATTGCTACTCCAAAAACTGAATCCTTTTATCACAGAATATACAATTATATAGAACATATATAAATTAAATAAAATTATGTACAATATTTAATATATATAAATTTCAGTTTTTAGTTGTCTATATTCTTTGATAGTATTGTACTCCTCCGTATAAAGTACCTGCTATCGCCATCTGGTGGTTCCAGTGCTAACTAAAAGTGGACTTTTGATGTTTAGGTGTCAATGTTATCATTAATTGTAATTTTATAAGTTTAATTAGATTCCTGTCTAACAAATTTGATAATAATAAATTTTTGTTATTAAAAATCTTTCATGATTAAGGTATTATTAAATTCTTCTAATTGTAGTCTAATGTAATCTCTTCCAGTCAAACGATTATAACCTCTCTCTATTGAAAAAATACTGTTATGAAGAAATATTTTTTAACATTAATAAAATATAATAATATTCATTTTTTATAAATAATCAGCATCATATTGTAGACTACTACACTACTTTAACTAAAAAAATATACTTCTATGTAAAATTTCAACTTTACTACAAGTGTGCAATATTTGAAAAAAATTGGAGGTTATTTATTTGAATAAAAATTGTTATATAGGATATAATAAAGGAAGAGATGTTATAATTTTGTTTCATTGGTAAATTTTATTACTTTTAACTTAAAATATACACATATATTTTAGATGGAGCACATACAATATTATATTATAATATATATGTATATTGGAGAGAGAGAGGAATGATAAATTAAATGACAAAGTATGTTACAAAAAAGAATGATATCTGCTGGTGGCGTGTAAGTTACCACATAAAACGTGGTATCGAAAATCAAAGAGGGTTAGTAAGAAGAGATTTCTCTTTGATCTGAACAGTCTTTGTCTATACTATGACACAATGCCATAACCTTTAAAATTTGTTAAGAATATTTAATCTACTTCTTCCATTCGGGATGCATCTTCCGTTTCGTTACTTTCTACTTGAGGGACTACTTCGTCTATTTTTAGTTCTTCTTGCATAGAATCATCCTCATCGATGCCAAGACCTAACTTAATCATTCTATAAATTCTGGATGCATGGATTTGTGGTTCATCCAAAGTAAAACCAGATGAAAGTAATGCAGTTTCATATAGAAGAATGACTAAATCTTTAACAGCCTTGTCATTTTTGTCAGCTTCAGCTTTTTGGCGTAGAGTTTCGATGATCGAATGATCTGGATTAATTTCAAGATGTTTCTTAGCAGCCATATAACCCATGGTTGATGTATCACGAAGTGCCTGTGCCTTCATTATTCTTTCCATATTTGCAGTCCAACCGTATTGGGATGTAACGATGCAACATGGTGAATCAACCAATCTGTTAGATACGACTACTTTTTCTACTTTGTTATCAAGAACAGTCTTCATAACCTTGCACAAGTTTTCGAATTTAGCCTTATCTTCCTCTCTCTTCTTCTTCTCTTCCTCATCCTCTGGAAGTTCTAAACCTTCTTTGGTAACGGATACAAGTTGTTTGCCATCGAATTCTTTCAATTGCTGTACAACGTATTCATCAATTGGTTCAGTCATATAAACTACTTCAAAACCACGCTTCTTGACACGTTCTACGAATGAACTGTTGGCAACTTGCTCTTTGCTTTCTCCAGTAATAAAGTAAATATGTTTCTGATTTTCCTTCATTCTACCAACATAGTCCTTGAGAGAGCAAGCTTCATCTCCAGATGCAGATGTATGATACCTCAATAAATCTGCCAATTTGCTGCGATTAGTACTATCCTCATGAATACCTAATTTAATGTTTTTGCTGAATTGTTCGTAGAACTTCTTATAAGAATCCTTGTCTTCAGTTAATTCCTCAAACAGTTCCAAACATTTCTTCACGAGATTCTTCCTGATAACCTTAAGAATTTTATTTTGTTGCAACATCTCACGAGAGATATTCAATGGCAAATCTTCGCTGTCAACTACTCCCTTAATGAAATTCAAGTATTCAGGGATCAATTCTTCACAATTGTCCATGATAAATACTCGGCGTACGTACAATTTGATGTTATTCTTCCTTTTCTTATTTTCAAATAAGTCGAATGGCATACGACGAGGAACAAAGAGCAAAGCTCTGAATTCCAATTGTCCTTCAACAGAGAAATGCTTAACCGCAAGATGATCTTCCCAATCGTTAGTCAATGATTTGTAAAATTCACCATATTCCTCCTGGGTAATATCATCTGCATTACGAGTCCAAATAGGTTTGGTTTTGTTAAGTTCTTCATCTTCAGAATATTTTTCTTTGATGGTCTTCTTCTTCTTTTTCTTTTCTTTATCTTCCTCTTCTTTGTCTTCGCCAACATCCTCAACCTTTGGTTTTCCCTCCTCGTCTTCTTTCTTTTCTTCCTCTACTTCATCCTCATCTTCGCTCAATTCCTTTTCACGTTCCTTTTGTACTACTAATTTGATCGGATAGCCAATGAATTGAGAGTGCTTCTTAACAATTTCTTTAATCTTAGCTTCCTTCAAATATTCAGATTGATCTTCCTTGATGTGAAGAATAATTTTGGTACCACGTCCCAATGGTTCACCAGTGTCTCGTCTAACAGTGAACGAGCCTCCAGCACTGGATTCCCATAAATATTGTTCGTCGTCATTGCTCTTAGATACGACCGTTACTTTATCAGCTACCAAGTAAGCAGAATAAAATCCTACACCAAATTGACCAATCATGGAAATATCAGCACCAGCTTGAAGAGCTTCCATGAAAGCCTTTGTACCAGATTTGGCAATGGTACCAAGATTATTGACTAAATCAGCCTTTGTCATACCAATTCCAGTATCAATGATAGTAAGAGTTCCATCATTTTCATTAGGAATAATTTTGATAAATAATTCTTTGCCGCTATCAAGTTTGGTTGGATCAGTCAATGATTCGTAACGAATCTTGTCAAGGGCGTCACTGGAATTCGATATGAGTTCTCTCAAGAATATTTCCTTATTAGAATAAAAGGTGTTGATAATTAAAGACATAAGCTGAGCAATTTCAGCTTGGAAAGCGAAAGTCTCCAACTCTCCTCCATCAGTTTCCATTTGTTCAGCCATCTAAAAATTCATTCAATTATTTCAATACAAATTCTTCAAGAACAAAGAGAAATAATAAATTGCATGGTCTTACATTAATTCACATTTGATTAGATATGAACAATAGAATGTATATATATTTCATTAATAAAATAATTTCGAAAAAAACAAAAAATAAATTAATCATTTATTATAAATGAATTAAAAAGAAAAGAGTAATCAATTAAATTATAGAACAACAAAAAAATCAATAGCATTGACGTGAAAAATAATTCATCCGCGTCTAGGCACGCGTTCGATGATAAGCGGTCATTCTTGAATGTAATTATAAAAAAGAAAAATAATATAATTGTTTAAATAAAATAAGCTGAGTAATGATCAGAAATTCGACTAATAATATATATTGAATAAATGAAATAGAACAATACCTTATAGTAATTAGCTGGTTACAGTTGATAAAAGACTTGAAGTATATCACAGAAGAGTATCGATTGAAGCGAGCAAAACGAATGAAGGCCCGCGTGAGGCGTCCCGTCTTATATACCCTCCAATAATTCTCGAACATTCTAGAACATTCTAGAAGATTCTCGAGCTCACGATATAGCTAACTTCCGGCAAAACATCTATTTTAACGACACGTATTTCCGACTTATTTCTTATTCAAGTTCCAATAGTACGTTTTCATTCGTCATATGAATAATCATTTGAATTGCTAATAATAACCCAACCATTTATGAAATTTATAAATAACCAAAAATGTATTTAGTTCATATTCCATTCGAGTAGTACTTCCGGCATTTTGGAACAGAAAACGATTTTGCTTTGAGAAGACATTGTCGACCATCATTATATCCATACATGTTAATTTCATATTTGCCATTGTTTTATATTATGATATGATTTATTCTTTTTTCAGATTATTTCATGTTTTTATCATCTTTTTACATTTCTTATTCATTGACTTGTCCTCCTTTTTTTAATAATTAAAGAATATAAAATATAGTCGAGCACGTGGCGCGCCTACGTTCGATAAAGAACATACTAGAATTTTCTTTATTCTTTTATCAGATATAATTTAGAAAATAATTATTTAAATAAGATATTAGAAATTAAAAAAGAAAGGATAACATTCTTTTTTTTTGACATGTCATTTATTGATGGATAAGTCAAATGAATCATAAGATGACTAGGCATTAAAGTCAAATCAATTGATATTAGAAATTATTATTCAATCAAAATGTGATATTTTTGTTCAAAATTATCAATGCTTTATAAAAATGTTAATGTATCAATGATTATGAAATTTTCTATTGTATTGACATTAGGTCATAAACCCATAAAATAAAGCGTTCATTCTCGGTCGATACAAAATTTCAGTTGTCATCAATCGGGAGGTGGCGCCCTCGTGGCGTTTCGTGACTTGCTATTAAACCAAATTTCCATGTAACTTGCGACATGTGTAGATTTTTCCGGAAGATTCTTTTGCGTCATTCGTTATTAGAAGAAAGGTATAATTTGTACAACGTTTTATTACAATATCTCATATTATTTTTATCTTTTTTAATTATAATGATTTTCTATCTTGTTATATTATATATATAGGTATACAAATTATTTATAAATTACGAATTACGAAGTGATTAAAAATAGGGTTATGTCTAAGAGAGTTACATTTAAATAGAATCGCGCGAATAATCTGACTATAATTAGAATAATTCAGTTAAAAATAATGCAAGCAACGTCGATGTTATTTACAACATCCTGAAAAATATTATTCCATTTCTTGCGGATGTTCGTACGTTGTTGTAAGAATGTGTGTAGAGGAGGATAATCAGTGAACACACATTCCAGACACCTTTATTGTGGGAAACTATCGTCGTCACGTACCGTGTCGGTCTATGTTCCGAAACCTTAAAGACGTTCCTCATCAGCAGCGAAAAAAGGAAGCCTTTGTCGAAATATCCTGTTTCTTGGTAAACACGCCGTGTTGCCGAACGTTTGTCGTGACCAAATTATAAAATGGCGGGAAAAATCAAATGATCAATATCATTTTTAATTGGATACTCTGTTATTTAAATAAAATAATGATTATATTTGTATTGTAAGGTATGTAAATATGAATAATTTTGAAAAATGAAATTCTTTCATCTTTTAATGTATTTATGTCACGCATTGACGACACTAAAGTACAATAATAATTATAGATGCTTCTACCGTAGGTAGGTTCAAGCACGAAGAGAATACAGACAAGTTTTAAACTACGATAGAAACGTTTTCTTTTGCTATTCAATTGTTAAACCCTGTATGTCATTTACCTTTCTTTTTTCTTCTTGTAGAAAATGTTCTTTTATTATTTTATAATACAAATACCTGAAGAGTTTTTCAACATTGATTGCTGATGAAATGGGAGGGAAAAAAAAATCAAAGCGTACAATCATTTATTTATCTTTATAATTACATTATATCGTTTAAATGTTTTAATATTTCCTTAACTTATGTTACATCATAATTAATATAATAGTGTTTATGTTATCAGATAAATATTTTTTCTTAATATTCATTTAAAGTTATATTACATTACTTACTAACATATAATAATTGTAATGATTTTATTTCTCTAATGATAAAAGCGTAAGACTAGGAAATTCTGAAGTACTTCATGATTTCATTGAAAGATAAAATACAAAGTGGAAGAGACGATATTCTGCTAATCAAAATTTCCCACAATCGAATTTCTTCGAATGTTCTGAGAATTCGATTAGAGTGGTATGTAGTATTAAGACGATGTGTTGTTCAGGATGTCAGGTGTAACAATGTTCGCAGTCTCGGTACTTCAATTTCACTGATGCGTAGAGTTCTGCACGTAAGGGGGAAGATCGTTGGAGTTGATATGGCGAGGAGCTTAACTCCGGTAACCTAGCTTTATGATGTCGAACGAAACTCATACAGCTAGATAACCAAAGAAAATGTCCGCGCCAAGATCTTCATCATTTGTTAATTATTATCCCCTTTTTCCAAATCAGAAAGATACTCCCGATTGAATCAATTGTTTCTTTTTGTATAGTTAGATCAGATAGAAGATCGACCTACGAAATTATTTTGAAACGTGATGACTCGTCGTTTTATTTTTGTACGTCGAACGATCATCAGAAATTTCTTTCAAATTTGCAAGCAAACACCAGCAGCAGACATCGTAATATCATTTTTGCATCTTACTTGAATTTTGTCCTTCGTCTATTTTTCTGAAACAGAGAACGAAATAGATAAGAGGGGAAAAATTGTAGAAATCGTTTTATAAGAACAAATCGTCGTGTTCCTTTGTCGTGCAGCAACATCAGAATTGATTGATATGCACGTCGAGTGTCTGTGAAAAGTGAAACACACAGACAGTCGTTGACATTTCAGAGTGAAAGTTAATCCATGGGCTTCGAGAGATAAGCCCATACGAGAGTGAAACAGGGTCCAGGTGGTATAATCTTGTAAACTAGTATCCGTTAGATCAATTTTAAATTCAATTAAAAATGTGTAAATTGAACATTTCAAATGAGAATTTCATCATTTCTTCGAAACTGCTGCTGCTGTTGCTCCTCGTATACATGTACTTTAATAAATGAACAAAATTAATGAAACAATTAATATTCCATATATTCCATGTTAAAAAAGTCAGTAGTAAGACGAAAAATAATAATATGTCCAGTCGTGAATCGTTATTTTAATAGCTCATTGTTACGAAACTTGTTAGAGTGTGTTGTAGAAGATAATTAACGGTGGCCAATTAGACGATGTAATTATTTCTTTTAGACGACGAACTTATCTTCGTATCATCGTCTACGATTTCGCGTTAAAATGAATCGCGAGTTATTGGAAAACGCGTCATTTTAAATATGATGCCCCGATATATATTGTGTCTTGCATGATTCCTGGAACAGAATATGTAAAAAAAAAAAAAAAAGAAAAAACCATGAGTAATGATAAAAATTGTACGTACGTATTGTAAATGTGTGTGTGTGTGCATATGTGTATTTATCACAAGATGTGATGTTTCTTTTTTAACATCTAAAGCAAACATATGAACAATACATACATATAAAAAAAAAAAAAAAGGAAAAAAGATTGATTAAAAAAAAAGAATATATTTATGAGTTGTTTACTCAGGTACGTCTATAACACTGAGAAATCTAATTGTCAATTAATGTTACTCTCATAACGGTGGAAAGACAAAAACAAAAAAAAATGTCTTTTCTCTTGGTAGTGGGTCTGGAGTCGATTGTAGACCAGTATAGAAGGAGTAGTTTCGTAAGAACACCTTCATTTGGAGAAAGTTATGATCTGGCCATATTGCTCGCGCGTGTCCGGATCTTATTTTATTTTCCAACCAACCAACCAACCAACTCTCTCTCTCTCTCTCTCTTTCTCTCTTTATTTCTGACATCAAAAACTTTCTGCTTTCGAAACGAGCACACACACATACGCGTGATTTTCTAAGATCGTTATAGAACATTAATAGATGTATATTATACATACGAAGGAAGGGGGAACTCGAGTAATTCATTTACAATTGAAATTTGTCTCTCTCATCATTTTGCTAAGCAAACGATAAAAAGATATTATGAATAATTATTACTTTACAGAATTGTTTTTTGTAACGAGAGAACTATATTAAACACTGAGAAAAATTATTTACGTGTTTCTTATCTACAAAATAATATATACAAATATCAATTATCGACTCTTCAAGAACATTATTCATTAACGTGTATAATAAATAATAATTAATATAAATTAGAAAAATATCTTCTTCGGGGATAAATGGTGAACGCGATCAGGGAGATCGACGAAAAAAAAAAAAAATGGTGGAGCTTATATTTCGAACGCGTAAAAGAACGTCGTCTTTGATTTTTTTTTCTTTTCTTTCTTTTTCTTAGGTAAACGAACAAGACGAAAACTCATGAAACATTCCGTTCTTTCTCTTTGTCTCCCTCCTGTCTCCTCTCTTCTCTCTCTCTCTCTCTCTCTCTTATTGACACACCGGCCATCTTATTCAAACCGTGAAATCGTACGTGTCACGTACCTATGGTAAACACAGGTAAATATCTATTTCTGTCTGTCTCTCTCTCTCTTTCTTTCTTTATTTCTTTTGCCATAAGTCGACCTTCGATTCGTTTAATTTGTTTACCAATGTTATTATAACTATAAATATCCATTACAAATTCGTTGATTAGTTGGCAACCGTCAAATCTTCAACAAACCACAGAGTTTCTGGATTTTGAAATCTTCAAGATTTATGCGAGCGCTTATCCATCGTTTGTTTGTACCAAGTACAAAAACCTAAGCAGAAATGATCACCAAGTATTAAATTAAATGGTTGCATAATTTTGGATTAACGACTCTAAAAAAGAAAAAAAAAACACGTTGCCATTATCACGGCAAGTCTTGAACGTGAAAATATGTGTGTTCTCTTTGATCTTGATCCAAGGAGAGACAAAGAAAGACGATTGGAATGAAATACCCAAGCCTTGAACAAAGTTTTTAATAAAACATTTGGTAAGCATTTGATGAAAGAGACCAAAATTGAATGGTAAAACGATAAAGTAACGTTTGCGTTTAAACCGTTCTATAATTTTTCTTCCTCCTTCTCCTCCTCTACCTCCTCGTCTACCTCTTTCTTCACTTTCTTTTTTATTTTATTTTATTTCGAGACCACTACATCACATATCAACGACGTTTATGCAAACACAGCTGCATCATCGTCGAGATAGTCCGAAGGAAATGCTTTCGTTTATTGTTATCATCAATTTCGAGATATATTTTATATCATCGACTAAATAATAATTATAATTCGCAAACATAAGTGCGGGAAAGATGAATTGTTAAATTAAAAATTCACACAAATTTCTAAAGTTAATCGTTGAAAATTGATGAGTTAAGGAACCACCGAATATCTTCGACATTATTGAAAAATTGAAATGAAATCAAGCAAAATAGTTAGAGATACGATTGAAATGCTCGTGTATCGCGAATACTTTGAATCCCGAGCATGCATCAAGCATGTGTCGTTGAAAAAAAAAAACGCACGCTTAAGAAAATAATTGCCAGGTAGACAGAGTTAATTTCGTGTAAAAGAAACCATCAGCAAATGTAAAAACTCTAATGGAACTGCGTTGAAAATTAATGTTACTAGATATGGAAATACAGAATAAAAAAAAAAGAAAATGTATATGTTTCAAAAAGAAAAAAAGAAAAGAAATGAAATGAAATGAAATGAAAGAAGGAAAGACGTTAAAGCTTTGAAAGTAACTTCCAAATATAGAATTGGTACGTGCTTATTTGGCAAACACATAACTTCATTACTCAAGATTAAGTTTCGAATAAGATAAATGTTATTGTTACCTTTTTTTTTTCTTTCTTTCTTTCTTGTATTCAAAGTGGTTCTTAAGAAGAAATTTAAAATTTTGAATACGACCAAGGTCGATAAACAAATTGAGCCGTTGAATTGTGGGCGTTTGAAATAGGGGTGATTCTCAAAGCCTAGTCCTTCTGTTTTCCAGGGGCCCCCTTTGGTCAACTTCCTCAGGAATGCCTACTTTTTATTTAGAATGAAGGCGCCCGATCCCACAGTATCGTTACCTTTTCCTTTCTTTCTTTCTTTCTTTCTTTCTCTCTTTCTTGTATTTAATATCGTTCTAAGGGGAAAAATTCGTAGCAAGTTAGTGTGTCAGGAACGCATCGTAGATTCTCGCTCGTCCTACCGTGAACCCGTAAACTATAAAGTTGAAACGCATTCACCGGCAGAACGAAGATCCTACGTGATATTAACAGGGAGAAATAAATGAGCGTGTATATATGGGATGTAGGAGTGTGTATGCGTGTGTGTATAGTAAGCAAGTAAGTAAGTAAGTAAGTAAGTAGCCAGGACCGTAGCGAAACGGTTGGCTTTGTCCATCCTGTTTGAGTGAGTGGAGGTTGTTCCTTCCGACTCTTTCATGAGAAAACGAACGCATAAGTTAGGTGTACTTTATTTTTTCCACGACGTTCTTAACCGTGTGAATTTCGATGTACATACATTAATCAATGGAAACGTAAGCAAGCAGTTAAGTTATTAATCGATTAGTGTTAAACAACTAATAAACGTATTCATAATACGAACGTGACTCAAAATATATTTCCAAGTTATATACCCGACTCGCAAATTAACCGTGGCTTAGAACTTAGCGATGACTAATAGTCATCTGAGAATGCTAATCGTTCGTTCTACAGTTGAATTTGTGTTTTCCTTTTTTTTTTTTTCTTCTTCTATTTCTTTTCATTCTTTTTCAAATATTTCTGTACACGTTCAAAATTCGCGTATTTATTGAAATAATTATAATATATATAAATATAAATATGAGAGAAGAATTCTAAGGTAGAAGAA